TCTATCAAATCAGTATTGATACCCTCAGGGGCGGATTTAGGAAATTTGGGGCCCTAGGCAAAGACAGTCAGGGGGCCCCCTGAGAAGTAAACCCATAAAACAGACCCATTCTACAGATAGAGAAATGTTAATAGAATAGACATCCATTATCTGTTCTAGGTTTTGTCCCTCTCTTCTTGTCCCTTTTTCCTCTCTATTTATCAGCGTTCTGATGGCATTTTAGACAAAGGATTTTTATCAAAAACATAATTAATGTGCACAAATAAGGATTAGTTGTATTAACCATACATGGAAACAGGGTTTTATGGGGCCCCCAGGAACTTGGGGCCCTAGGCAACTGCCTAGTGTTGCCTAATGGTAAATCCCCCCTGGATACCCTGCTGGTGGATGTTCTTGACAGAAAGACGGAGTTGCTTAATCATATTCTGCTTAAGGCCCCATAAGATCTTGTCCGAGTCCTGGTTTAAAAGTAAATTAATTTTAAAAAGTGACCCAAAATTGACTGTCAATAAATGTTCTACAAAATTGATACATTTATTTGATTTCTTTGATTTGTACTGTCTGTTTAGATTTATGTGATATTTTTTGCACAAAATATAAAAGTGAATATTGTAACAGTGTAAGCATTAAATTGATAAATGTTATTCGCATTTTTTTGGCTTTATCCTTTCCAACAAAAAAAAAGGCGTCGCGCAGGTAGCTCCCTTTCCTTATGAGCCGTCCCCACCAACTTTCAACACTTGTTACACCCTTGTGTTAGACAACGCCTTAGCAGGTGCACTGAAAAAATTCGGCGCGCGCGCGCATTATCTTCTAGGGGCTGAGCCACCCTTGTCTCTTAAACCTAGAGACGCCCCTGGTCCCTCCACTGTCGTCCTCCGTGTTTTTTCTTTTAGAGTTGTTTTGTTCCGTCAGTACAGAGTGACATTAACTCCTTACTAATTCAGGTATGGGTCACATGGCTGGTCAGACCGCAGTCACATTCAGACCTGTATCGGTTTAAATCCAGAAACAATGGGGCCCAGCTCAGACTGGAAATAGTCCGATTCCACATGACTTGGTCTATTCACAGAGTCAGGAAAGAATCTCACCTCAGTCACTTCAGGGCAAAATAATAAACTTAAAATAATAAATAAACTTAAATAAATGTGTATGGGGCCACATTTGTCTGCAGGGTGAAAGTAGCCTTAGTCTTCAAAGAGCTGCGGTTAAAAAGACCCAATTCCTCCTTATCTTTAACCGTCTGCACTCCAACTGGAATCCATCAGACCTGATCTTTTTATCATCCGACTCATTTTAGATTCAAACTTCCAGATTCACCGACTGTTTAATTATTATTCCCAGCACATGCTTGCATCGAGAAGCTTCAACATTTCCTGCAGCTAAACCACAAAGGCCTCAGAAACTGGAACTGCTTAACAATCATCTGGTCTTGATTTTTTTGTATTTCTAATTTTTAGCCTGAACATAATTAAATGTATTTTATTTTAATGACTTTATAACTAGGGTAGAAATATCTAATTAGGAGACAACAGCCTGAGGCCCAACAGCCCAAATCCTTTTCTAAAGGCGTCGTTAACAAGAAAGAACAAACTCCAGACAAGTAACATGAAACTCTTAATGATTAGTCTAATCTGCAGATGATGAAAAAGAAAAGAGGTGATTTAGGGCCTGGTTCTGATTTCAGAAGTTCAAACTTTTAGACTTAACATCATAAAGTCAGGTGTATAAAAAAAACACAAATTAGGATAAAAACGAAAAGAGCAAGAATCCTGTCAGGCTCTCTGGTTATTTATAAAGCTGAAAACTCCAATACCAACTGTCTCCATTACTGTAAAACTAAAAATATATATTGTTTTAAACTTAGTTAATGTAGATTCTGCTTTTTTTCCTGAAAGAATCCTGAAATTACAAAGAACACTAAAAGAAATTAACCTTAAAATATGTTTGTTTCAGATCTACAAAGTTCTATAGATCTGTTTTCTTATGTTTTTCTCCTGGAATAAATCTCTCATATACAGAAAGTAATCTACTACCAAATAATAATAAAAAATAATCCTAATCTGATTGGATCCTAACTCTGCACATGCTTTCTCCATCACTTTCCTCCAATTTTTCATTTCTTTTTTATGGTTTAAGATGAGAAACGAATGGAAACATTTCTGTGCATCTTTAAAAAAACAAATCGGTCACTAAAAATAAAAAGGACTAAATGCATTTAGTTTACATTTTAGTATCCCACCACTGAGCCTTATCAATATAAGAAATTGATTTATTGACCTTTTGGATAAAAACCATTGAAACAAACAAACTTCCATCCTCATTCCCTCCAAGGAGCAATGTCCCAGTTTGGTTGGATTATATTTTAATTTTCTGTTTGATGAGCATCTAGACTAAACATGGCGACGGTGTTTTTCCCTCAGATGTTTCGGTGCGTCGCTTCTTCTGCAGCCAGACAGCAGGTGAGATGTTCGCTCCAACAAAGCGGTCATAATTACTCCTCCTCTATTCATGTGCAGAGTTTAGACCTTTGCGAGTCCATGCCAAGTCTAATGACACCGAGGAGGCATAAATCATAGAGCCTCCCTGTTATGACAACAGCTAAATACTAACGCTGCAGGTTCACATCAAAGGAATGTCCCCCACCTACTGCAAAGGCCTCTGGGAAGCACCCAGACACGCCTCGTTTTTACACCAGCCTTGCAATAGTAGGAGTTCCTGTGATTGTGAGCAAAGCGAGGTTAAGTGTGGAGAACAGGGTGAGGCTGCTGCTGCTGGAGCGGCTCTGAAGTTTCACACAAAGACGGTCAGGTTTTCTGGTTCTGCAGCGTGATTTTAACCCCCTCCCCCCATTTGGTAAAAACTCAGAAATGACCTGAATCTCTTTATTGGCTAAAAGCTTCATCTGGAACGTTTTCTCTTGCTTTGAGTGAAAAACTTCCTCAAACCTGAACCTCTAAATCCTGATAATCTAATTAATACATAACCTATATGTTTAAATTCAGTGTAGAACGGATTTGTTTTAAGTCATTTCCTTTTAAATAACCTTTTCTTTTCTTGAAAAAAAAAAAAAACTGAATTAACTCTCCACCTTCAGATCTGATGCTGACTGAAACAGTCACATTGAGTCATTTCAGGGAACATTTCAACCGTTAGCTGCTTAGTTTCATGGGAGTGGCGTACTGTAAACATTTGTGCAATATCAGTTCAGCTTCATTAAAACATATTATTTTTTCTATTGTTTTTTTTTTTTTTTTCTCATTGCAATCACATCTTTTCCTCCGAGCTGCTGCAGCTCAGTGCAGAGTAAACGACACTCTTTCAGTTTCTGTTTTCAGTGATCCCAGTAATTTTTCCTTGTAAAGATGCTGCATTTAACTTGTTGCAACAAGCTGGTTTACCTCTGCAGAGTCACTCACCTGAGCTCATTAACATGGAGCGTCTGTTGGTTCTGTTTCAGCTTGCAGGAGAACTGATGCTGGCGTCATATTCTTCTAAGAGCCAAAATCTGCTTTATATTCAGTTGATCTTCTAATCTAAATACCAACCTGGTTTTATCAGAACTATAAGAAGGATAAATAAAATGTTGCAACCTTCAAGGTGCCTCTCAATGAATTGGAACTTCAGTGCATTGTAAAAACTGGTCATTTCCTATTTTAATAGTTTTTATATATAATTTTAATAGTTATGGCTTTAAGCTAGTAAAATATTGAGGCTCTCAGGAATTAAAATTACATATAATCAATAAAAAGGTATTTTTCTCTATCTAGAAATGCAGGCCCTTTAAATGGGGCCAATTACAAATCATTAGGGTCTGAATAAAGATCAACCATTAAAGGTCAGGAGACATAATTAATTAATTTAATTCAATTCTATTCAGTTTATTTCTATAGCTCGAGTTCACATCATGTCATCTCAGGTCACTTTCCAGTTCACCAGATCATCCAGTCAGATTGATTCAAAGTTTTCTATCTAAGGAAAACCAGCTGATTGCATCGACTCATTGACTCTTCAGCAATCCCTCACACTAAGCATGCTTGTAGCGACAGTGGAGAGGAAAAACTCCCTTTGAACAGGAAGAAACCTCCAGCAGAACCAGGCTCAGTGTGAGCGGCCATCTGCTGAGGCCCACTGGGGTTCAATTATAATCTGTTACTTCAAACAGAATTTAACGCTGAAATAAAATGAGGTGTTTTTGCATCCAGGTTATACATTGAACTTTTAAATAAAAAAATATTAAAAGAAAAAAATATATATTTTTTTTCTTTTTATTCTCTCCCTGACGCACTAACTGCAGTAGATTCTTCCGACTTTAAACATGTTATCTAAGTGGGCTAACATTAACTAATCCTTCATTTATCCCACGACAAGGTTAGAAGATAGAAGAAGTGGATTAGGAAAAAAAAACATTATTAATATTATTAAGTTGTTACAATAAAATAAAAATCGCAAAAAAACTGAAAGGTCAACAGTTCCATGATCCTTAAAGTTCAGAAGTATTGGTATCGTATTGATATCAGCGATACTGACCCTGTATTTATTGATATCATATTGATTAAAATTCCCGGTATATATTAAATGATTGCTGCTGTTTTTAATAGTTCACCTGAAAACACCTCAGCTTAGAGCAGCCTGCTGATATAGACCGTCAGTTGGACGACTGTCCTTTCTGCAGACTTCCTACTAATTGAGTTTGCAATAACGTAACGCCTCTTTTATTGGTTGTCATTTTCAATGGTTTTCATTTGTTGTTAAACCTCATAAACAGGAAGCAACAACAAAAGCAGAAAGGAAGGAAAGAAGGAAGAACAGGAAAAGGAAAGAAGTAAATGAAATGAATGGAAAACAGTCTGGAGGTGAAAAACTAGCGTCTGATCCGACACTCATCCCAACAAGGAAACATTTTGATTTTATGTCTTCTTCTCCCCCATCAGGTTTTGCAGTGAGCTAAAAAATTGGGTTTAATGTGTGACATCTGCAGGCGCCGGTAGCCTCCTTACCTCATGCTCCTCCTCGTGCACGCTGGGCTCACTCTTGATGGGACTGGATGACTGGCTGAACACTGAATGAGTGCTTTGACTGTCACGCTGGAAGAAACAACCAGAAGAAGAAAATATAAGAACGGCAGACTGCGGATCGAATGATTTGCTGGTTCTAATTTGTAGGAAATGTCAAAACATACCAAAGGAGGTGAAAGCATTACTTGTGACTCACACTAAAGATTAATTAATATAATTTAATTGTAATATTAGTGAGATGGGTCATATTTTAATTTTTATTATAGTTATGGTTATTTTATTAACTATAACTTTATTATAGTTATAGTTATTTTAATTTGTTTGGTTCAGGGTAATATTATTATATTAATGAAAATTAAGATTTCTTTACAAACCAAATCTAAAAACACTGAGAATTTCTCTCATTCCTAAAGTCAGAGCATTTTATTCCAACAAACATTAATAATTAATTAATAATTACTACAGCTGAAAGGTGGAAGTTAACCTCCATGTGGCTCCTAAAAAACTCCAAAAATAAGTTAAATGCTTGGAGGGAAAAAGGTTTAATACATTCCTATTGTCCTCAGAGATAAAAGCTTTGGTATTTTACGCCAGTGAAGCAGGTGCTGGTGACCAACGTTCTACTCTGATGTCAGTCTGGAGGCATTTTGCAAAATAGAAAGCAAAAAGAAAAGCCTGAAACAGCTGCAGACACCAACAGTTATACATTATTCCCTGTTTTTACATTCTCACTCTCTCTGCTGACATGAGTTATTCTAAAAGGTTTGTGTTTGTTGGAAAAGAAAAAAAGAGTCAACGTCGGGTTTAAGCTTGACGTCTAATGGGTGGAGAATAAAGATTTTTCAGATGCAAACTCAGCGTATGCAAAGTTCTTTTTAGACAAGAAAAAATATACTAAATGCAAATACTAAATATTTCCACAGTTTTCCAGGTTGTAATAAAAAAATTGGTGATGGAAGAAAATATGAAAAATTTCAAATGCTTTAAACCCGACCTTACAGCAGCTGGCAGTACGGCTGACAATAGAAACCTGTTCAATATCAATAGAAAATAGGTCTGATAGAAATGTCTAATTTCACTGAACTCCAGCCAGAGCCGCACAGCATTCTGGGGGATGTAGGCAGAGGACAGCATTTTCACAGAAAAAATTACACAAAGTTTTTAAAGGTTAAAGGTCACGTTTCAAAAAGGTTAGAGTAACTATTTCAATTCAACCTTTTTTATGTTAAATAGTTCAAATAAATAAATCTGTAATTATCTAAATTGACTGATATGAAAGGCTTAGATCCTAATTTTTTTTCCAACCATATTTCACAACCAATGGCATCAATAAAAATATGCAAACACAGGAATTATTCACATTTAGGAGAGTTGCTGCTGCTTTGTTTCCAAGTTTGCTGCTAAACCGTTTCCCTTTGAAATGCTAAAAAGCTGTGAAGGTTGATTTCACACAAAAACAAGAACTGGGATACGACAAACCAAGTATGACGGTTCGATAATATGTTGTTCTATGAAACGGGGCGTTCCAATTTCTATGTCTCAGCAGGTAAAACGAAGGCCATGGAACCTGGGATGTTGCAATTAAATTTACTGTTAATAAAAGTTTTGATTATGCAATAATTTATCCATCGCATTATACATCCTAATGGCTACATCTGCAGTGCGAAAAATAGAAATCTAAATATCTTGGCTTAAAATAAGGGGGGGTTTTTTCTTGAATTGTGGAGGTTAATGAGACAAGTTGCCAATGGAACAAGAATTTACATTTAAAATAGGAAAAAAAAACAATAGCATTATATTATTTCAAGTGCATATTATCTAACTTTCTATTTTTAAGGGTAAAAACACTCATTATATTGGCAAATCCTCTCATTTACCAGCTCGATTTAAGAGCAAATACACTTAATTTAGGAAATTTGAACTGATTTCTAGATAATTTTGCTGTGTGAATAGAATAGAAAGGCCTGGTTAGCATTCAGATAAAAATTCAAACTTTTTTGCCTCAAACCTGCAAAGGATTCCAATCACACTCATATAGCCTGCATTTCCTAACCCTAAAGTGAGTGCTGGAGTAACCAGTCCCACCTCCTCTGCTGCTGTGCACTGCCAGTCAGCTTGCTGGAAGAAGACAATAAATGTCCCTGCTTGAAAAGGAGAAAAACGTCCTCTGCCTAATCCAAGGAAAATGTCCCAGGAGTTCAAACTTTAGAGGATTATTTCAAGCATAACAAAATGGCATCCAAAATGGCTTCCTCAAACAGTGGAAATAGCTTCATTAGTAATTGCTTTTCTATGTTTTTCAGCTTCTACCACTGTATATCACTCATTGCTCTGTGTGACTTCATTGGGGTTCAGCTCAGCTCTGGGTCAGTTATTGTTACTAAGGTAAACCAAGGCTGCATGGAGGAAAATCTCGAGTACCAAGAAAACTTATGAAACATTTGGGTCGATATCAGACGCTAATATTATTGTGGCTGATAACTAATATTATATAAGCTGTAAATATGACCTTACGCTTTCAACCTGTTCACCATATTACTGATATTACTGCATTTCTGCTTTAACTAAACATCCACCAGTCCTGATCTGCATCACTATCACAGTCAAATGAACAAACAGATACCTAATGGTAAATGGCCTGCAGTTATATAGAGCTTTTCAAGTCAGAGGAGTTTCCTTGGGTTACGCTTGACGCTACGTTCACCCGTTCACCCATTCATGCTCTGCTGGTGGTGAGCTACATTGTAGCCACAGCTGTCCTGGGGCTCACTGACAGAAGCAGGGCTGCCGTATGTTGGCGCCGCCGGGCCCTCTGACCACCATCAGTAGACAATGCAGGTGAAGTGTCTCGCCCAAGGACACAACGACACTGAACCGAAGCCAGGACTCGAACCGACAACCCTCTGATCGCAGGAGTTTGCCCTGCCGTATTTGCAGTCGCTACGGTTATTTGGCAACAGCAAAAATCTGTCGTAGAAGGAGGGTACCTGAGAGTACCATCCTCTTATTAATTATGAGCAAAAATATTTATAAAAATCTATTTTGAGAGAAATGAGCTTTTAACACAGAAAGCAGAATGAACCACTGCTGCTCCAATAAGCTGGACCTGTGTGTGACTAATGTTGGATCCCGTACAGTCAGACAGGGCGCGGTTAAGGCCTCTTATTAAACACCTTATGAACATTTCGCTCTCAATCCAAGACTTCAAACAGCAGAAAACCGTCTATAATTTTAGCAACCATATAAAAATAAATACCTTCAGTGCCACTGCTCTGAAAACCAAAGGACTGGGTAACCTAGGGAGTGTTTAAAAAGCCTAGCTCTACAGACGGGCTGACAAGTAAGATATGGATAAACTGATAGGGTTCAATCAAATGTTTTACAGCCTGCAGCTGAAACCGCTTGTAAACCTGTGTGAGCACACAGGCCAACATGTCTGGGAAATCATTACTAGAAGGAACAAGTTCTCTGGTGACACAAAAAAGACATGAAGCAGGTGGAAACTCTGAGATCTACAGTAGAATCCATCTGAGTTTATAGGAACAAAGTTGCATCATGTTTTCAGCAGGTTCACTATCGGCTATCGAGCAGTTAATCCACGTGTGTTTTCAAATTCATCTTATTCTCATTTCACTGTCACAAGTACAGCACAACAAATTCACTCTCTGCATTTAACCCCTCCCCTTGGGGAGCAGGGGGCTGCCATTGTGCAGCGCCAGGAGAGCAGTGTGGGGTTAAGGGTCTTGCTCAGGGACCCTGATGGCAGTACTTGGGAGTGGGTTTTGACTCACAACTAGGGATGCACGATATAATCGGCCCCCTATCGGTATCGGCCTTAAAACTGAATATCGGACATCCGCCCCCCCACCGATATTTAACCCGATATTTGATCAGCTTCTGAGTTTCTAAAGTCTAAAAAAAAAAAAAATAAATACTACTTCTTCTTCTTCCTCAAAAACTTCTTTTTTACAGACTTAAAAACTTCTAAAGACGAGGGAAAAAATATTGATCCATTAAAATATCCCAATATCTTCATATGCTGATATATTGCCATTTAAAAACACCATATCAATCTCTTTACTAATGAAATATTGCTATATGTCATCGTTATGCTACGAAATCCCCCGAAAATTCACCAAATGTTGCCATATTTTTATATGTTGATATATTGACGCGGTATCGATATATTTTACTAACAAAATCTCACAAGAATTTGCAAAATATCACGTTCGTGATATTTTGCAAATTAATATAATATCATATCATATCAATATCATATAATAATATCATATATATATTATATCATATATATAATATCATATAATATCATATAATATCATATCAATATCATATATAATATCATGAAATTTCACGAGATTTTGAAAGTAAAATAGATCGATACCGCGTTTTTAAAAATCAATTTGATATCAGCATATGAAAATATATTTGAGTATATTATTTTTCAAAGTGTCAGAAATGGATAACAAAACTGCTATTTTCAATGACTACTTATTTTTGTCCAGCTTTAACATCGGTATCGATATCGGTTATCGGCTACATGAGTTTTAAAATATCGGCATATCGGATATCGGCCAAAATCCCAATATCATGCATCCCTACTCACAACCTCAGGATTCCAAGCTCTATGCCCTAACCGCCATCGCTCCAGAGTGGTGCTGCAACTAACATTATGTTTATTCTGTCAATTATTTTGTAATCTGTTGATTATTATTTTTGATCGATAGATTAATAATCAGGTACCAAAAGGTTCCTTAAAGAAAAGTTTTTACAGAATGTAAACCAGGTGGAACAAACTTTCCCACTTGAGAATTTTAGATAGAGCAGATTGAAAGATGAAAAATATTTTTTCTTCATAAATGCAAAATATTTATACATTTTTTTTTAAACAAATTTGGTATACAGGTGCTGGTCATAAAATTAGAATATCATGAAAAAGTAGATTGATTTCAGTAATTCCATTTAAAAAGTGAAACTTGTATATTATATTCATACATTACATACAAACTCATATATTTCAGATGTTTATTTTGTTTAATTTTGATGATTACAAATGACAACAAATGAAAATCTCAAATTCATCATATCAGAAAATTAGAATATTACTGAAGACCAATAAAAACAAAGGATTTATAGAAATGTTGGCCAACTGAACAGTATGAACATGAAAAGTATGAGCATGTACAGCACTCAGTATTTAGTTGGGCCTCCTTTGGCCTGTATTACTGCAGCAATGCGGCGTGGCATGGAGTCGATCAGTCTGTGGCACTGCTCAGGTGTTATGATAGCCCAGGTTGCTCTAATAGTGGCTTTTAGCTCTTCTGAATTGTTGGGTCTGGTGTATTGCATCTTCTTCTTCACAATACCCCATAGATTTTCTATGGGGTTAAGGTCAGGAGAGTTTGCTGGCCAATTAAGAACAGGGATACCATGGTCCTTCAACCAGGTACTGGTAGCTTTGGCACTGTGTGCAGGTGCCAAGTCCTGTTGGAAAATGAAATCTGCATCTCCAAAAAGTTGGTCAGCTGCAGGAAGCATGAAGTGCTCTAAAACTTCCTGGTATGTGGCTGCGTTGACCCTGGACCTCAGAAAACACAATGGACCAACACCAGCAGATGACATGGCACCCCAAACCATCACTGACTGTGGAAACTTTACACTGGACTTCAAGCAACGTGGATGAAGTGCCTCTCTTCTTTTCCTCCAGACTCTGGGACCTTGATTTCCAAAGGAAATGCAAAATTTACTTTCATCAGAGAACATGACTTTGGACCACTCACCAGCAGTCCAGTCCTGTTTCTCTTTAGCCCAGGCAAGACGCTTCTGACGCTGTCTGTGGTTCAAGAGTGGCTTGACACAAGGAATGCGACAGCAGAAACCCATGTCTTTCATACGTCTGTGTGTGGTGGTTCTTGAAGCACTCACTCCAGCTGCAGTCCACTCTTTGTGAATCTCCCCCACATTTTTGAATGGGTTTTGTTTCACAATCCTCTCCAGGGTGCGGTTATCTCTCTTGCTTGTACACTTTTTTCGACCACATCTTTTCCTTCCCTTCGCCTCTCTATTAATGTGCTTGGACACTGAGCTCTGTGAACAGCCAGCCTCTTTAGCGATGACCTTTTGTGTCTTGCCCTCCTTGTGCAAGGTGTCGATGGTCGTCTTTTGGACAACTGTCAAGTCAGCAGTCTTCCCCATGATTGTGTAGCCTATAGAACTAGACTGAAAGACCATTTAAAGGCTTTTGCAGGTGGTTTGAGTTAATTAGCTGATTAGAGTGTGGCACCAGGGGCCATCAATTTTGAACCTTTTCACAATATTCTAATTTTCTGATATGATGAATTTGAGATTTTCATTTGTTGTCATTTGTAATCATCAAAATTAAACAAAATAAACATCTGAAATATATGAGTTTGTATGTAATGTATGAATATAATATACAAGTTTCACTTTTTAAATGGAATTACTGAAATCAATCTACTTTTTCATGATATTCTAATTTTATGACCAGCACCTGTAATTCCTGCTCTAAGTGTGTCGCTCTGTCTCATAAAGGCGTGTTTTAGAGTCTCTATACTCCAGTTAATGATGATTTGATTACTAAATAAGCTGATGATTAGTTCAATAAATAATTTATCACGAGTAATTGTGTCAGTTGAGAGATATGATTCCTTTTTCAGCACAGATATCGATCGATTGGATGAGAAAAAAGAGGATTGGTGGATGTCTACAGAATACGTAAATTCTAAATATTCCTGGAACTTTTGCCACAACTTATAACCATAAACTCCAAAGTATTCTACACATACCGTAAGAGATATAGAGAAAGTTCCATATGTAATTGTAAAGTAGAGGAGGTATAGTGCTGGTTCGAAGTTTTTCACAGGTAATAATGTGTAAAATAGGTAGTGCATAAGCACTGAGGTCCCTTCATGTAATTTCCTCTCATGGAAAATGTTCCTAGAGGCTCATGCTAGCTCTGGAGGAGTTGGAGAGACACACGGCTCAGCATGAAGAATCTATAGGCAGGGCTACGGTTAGTTGGAAACTGCAAAAATCTCTCCCTTTATTTGAGATTAGCAAGAAGAAATCTTATTTGAAGTTTGCAAACAGGGCATGGAAGAGACACAGCAAACTGGTCAGCAGTTACGACACTGCCCCCTGGGCCAAGACTTGTGATGGGGGCAGAAATATACCTGATAGGGTGTTTAGTCTCTACAAAAGCAAAGCTCAACATTTCTTCCTCCTTCAGAAAACATGTGGTTTGTTTTTAACAACATTTCATTTGTAACTTATAAAACCAAGAAACTGCAGGATGACAATGTTCACTTTATAATCCAAGAAGAAAGGCTGCAATGTGAAGCTGGAACTTCGTTTATCGTATGTGCAAATGAGCAAAAACATCTACAGCTATGTGCAGCTTCACATTACCATATCTCTACAGCTATGATGTCAGCAATAATAAGATAAGTCACAATAATGAAGAGTTCTGTCAGACCTTGCTGAAAAGATTCCAATTCAATGGACTGAACTGAAACATAACCTTCAACTAGTCCCTGATTTCTGTTCATATTCACTATTGATCATTCAGTCTGTGAAAATCCGGAGCCCAGTGTGAGAACTGAGAAGCTGATGCCACATGGGAAACATGCCTGTACTATGCTGAAGTTAGCCAGAGGCGGCGACGCTGTCCCGCTCTGACATCCATGATGGATGGCGACTGGCTCACTAATGAACGGGGATGTTTGACAGCTTGGTGTGAGGCCAAACTGATTTATAAACAGCAAACAAGAGGTCAGGTTGGAGTCAGGGCGGACATTAACGCCACTGAAGCACAATCGGGTCTAAATAAGCAATTTGCAAGGTAGCGCTCAGGTTGTTGGACTCAGTAAAACAAATAATCAAGTTCCTTGAAAGGCCTTTTAAACGTCTAAAAAAATAAGTTAAAGTCACGCTAATTTAGACTCACACTTTGGACCTGTTAGAATATGAATGAGCGCTATAAAGAGTGAAAAGTACCAACTACCACCTCGCTGACAGAGCTTCTCTTTTAGTTAAACATTCCACTTGACGGGTTTTACTGAAAGGTATGAGACAAACATGCGTATGTGTTAGTCTGTTTACACACATGCCCAAGCAAATACCACATGACCAACCCCCCTCCCTCTCCTGAGACTCCGACACAAAAACAGCACGGTTAAAATAACTGGATGGGTGACTAATATTGAAATATTTTTACCTCTGTGCAGAAACGATCAGTTAGAAATAACAATAGAATTCAACTTTATTGTCACTAAATTACAACAAAGCAATGAAATTCCCCCTCTGCATTGAACCCATCGCTTTGGGTAGCAGTGGACTGCCATGGTGCGGGGCCCGGGGAGGTGTGTGGGGGGTTAGGGTCTTGCTCAGGGACCTAGCGTGTCATTCTGTGGGAGCGGGGCTTATACTCAGAACCTCAGGGATCCAAGGCTAATGCCCTAACCACTATGCCACCAGTCCCCAAACATCGGCCCATACCGATCTAAATGCCGATGTTTTGTGTATTTGTTTCAAAACATGACCAAGTGTTGGATCTTTCCTCTAAAGGAACAGCTAAAGCAGCAGATATAAATGCTAATGCTTTTCTTAGGCTGTTCCTGAACTGATGATAACTTTCCTTACCCAAAAGAAAAAGACTTAAATCGCTCCTTGAGCCAAAATCATTCAGGCAAAAGTAGTTCACGGGTAAAAATCAATTCAGGGGAACTTTTAGGGAAATAGTTTTGTTATAGACCCAACATTACTTTAGAGAAGAATTCAACTTTATTATCAATAAATTGTCACAAGTAGAATGCAACCAAATCCAATCTCTGCATTTAACCCCTCCCGTTGGGGAGCAGTGAGCTGCCACTGTGCGGCGCCCGGGGAGCAGTGTGGAGGGTTAGGGTCTTACTCAGGGACCCAGAGTGTCATTCTGTGGGAGCGGGGCTTGAAATCAGAACCTCTGGGATCCAAATGCAATGCCCCAACCACTAAGCCACCACTCCCCTAATTTATGACATATTTGTAATCATCAAAGCAGGCATTCAAAATGGCCCCTCCAAGATAGAAGCCATCTGAATGGCAGCAAAATCCCCTCCAACTTCCAGCCACCGGCCTTCTCCTGGGCGTGCATGTTTTTACTCTGACTCCACCCTTTCACTAAATTACAGGGTCTGATCAGGAGATGGCGCTTCTCTTTAGATCTTAATGTCCACAAATCATGACAGAAAGAATATTTTAAATGTTTAAAAAAGAATTGTAGGGGACCAGCGAAGGAAAGTATGGACATTCTGAATGGTTGCTACTGTAAATGTTAGTTTTGACATTTTAAACTTTAAGTGGCCTATGTTTGCTGTTTTCTATGGATTTTATTCATTTGACTTTAGAAGCAGAAGCTGAACAGTGAGCCTCACCTCAACAAATGACCTCTGCTGCTGCTGCTGGACAATGAATTCAGTCTCATTGCTGCTGGTGCTCACGCGGGGCAGAGTCTGCACGTACATCGGGGACATCATGGTCTGCTGCATCATAGGCTGCTGCATCAGGAAGTAGGACTGCTGGGGCATGGCCTGCTGCACCGGGACCAGGTACCGCACTGACTCATAGGAGCCATTCACAGCAGTGATCGGCAGCGAAGTCACCTGAGAGACCGGAGACACCTGTGGGACCGGAGACATCGGAGACACCGACCTGGTGGAGAACACCTGAGTAGTCACCGGTTCGGTTGTCAACGTTTTGTAAGTCCGGACTTTCTGAGTGGTGTGGACAGACATGGTGAGACCAACTCAGACCGACAGGAAGACAGAGAAAAAAAAAAAAAAAACAGAGCCTGGAGAGTCCAAGAAGTACAAAAAGAAAAAAAACAAACACCTGGATTTCCTCCGTGGGGTTGATCTGTCAACAGAAAGCTGATCCACAACAGACTGATTCCTTCCCCGGTAGGCAGAGGAAAGTCCGGCTGGAGGAGTGACTTGTTTGTGAAGGAGAACCTAAAACCTAAAGAGCTCAGAGCTCTGCCCTGAATGCAAATTCCTCTGAAAGTGGGAGGACCCAGAATTACACCCATCACCAGCTCACAGCTTCTGACGTGTCCGTATAATTATCATTACAAACCAACGCCGCCCTGGAGCGCACTTTTGTTAACCCCCCCACACACACACACACACACACACACACATCCCGGGGAAAAAAATCTACTACCACAAAGTTAGCACATTCCTTCTTACATTATCTTATTTTTCTTTAAGGGGTTTTATTATCCCCTCTTAACCCTGGAACTAACTGGGATTGTAGTAAAACTAGTAAAACATGGACGTCTTCATCGGTGAAATAGAGCTGCACGAACCGTTTCCGCCGCTAGGTGTCGACAAACACCAGCTAATGGCTAAGCTTCAGTCCCATTGCTTTCTGCAGTGTGGTTCAGTGCTGAATGTGCCCACTTTAGAGCATCAGTAAATCAGGATGGGAATATAATGGATGTGTGTGAGAGTGTGTTTATAAATAACCTATCTATTTATACTAAAATGTGACAGTTATCCCTTGCAGGGGTGCCACAAGGGGATGGCTCAGGGTGGCCACGGCCCACTCACCAGTGTAAATTGTAGTAACATCAGTTTAGAATTTCATCCCATTCTGCACAGCCAGCGACTTTACGTTAAAAATTACACAATAAACCAACATCTGAGGAGGTGTTTATTAAAGTGTTTCTGATTTCTACAGTCAGGTTTACCACAATAGTAGATTCACACCCTGAAATTATGGCTTTTAGTTTCAGTAGCCATCCCAAGATTTTTACTGACCCCATCTGGCCCCCGCTATGAAATATTTCTGGAGGCGCCACTGATCACTAGGTGGGATATTGATTATAATTTTCCACTGAACAAACTGGTGAGAAAGGCTGTTTCTGTCCCAGGCTGCCCTCTGGACTCAGTGGCTGAGAGGAGGCTGCTGTCCAAGCTTCCATCCATCATGGACGCCACCTTCCACCCTCTGCAGCAGACTGGAGAGGAGCTGAGCAGCTCCTATAGTCAAAGACTTTTACAGCCTGGTTGGAAAAAGGAGCGCTACTGCAGGTCTTTCATCCCTGCTGCAACTAGACTCTGCAATGTGGCACTAAAAGTGCAATAATTAATGTGCAATTACTATTTAATACCCGTTGCAATAACGTGCAATAATCCTGGTAAATGAGAGAATTCAGCTGTTGTGGTTTTCTCACTGCCTCAATGTTGTTCCTTACCTGGTACCATTTTAATGTACAACACCAAATCCACATGTGTATAAATTAAATGTACATAAGTCACTTTAAATCTCTGCCGTATTTTTTCATTGTTTTTCTTCTTGATCCACTGTGTATATGTGAATGCCCTGTATATAGGCCTACCCCATGCACGTTTTTTTCCTTTTGGCCTCTTCTTTGGACTATTGAGCCGATGTCATAATCTCCACTGGAAGATCAATAAAGTCAATCTGATCTTATCATAAAGCAATAGGTAATGATGATTCCGTTACATATTAATGTGTTTTAAACATTGAGCTAATCTAAAATTGATCATACTAGTAGTGACGCCAGAGGTGCTCGATGGCTACCACCGGAAAAGTCATGGCACCACACCAAAAACTTTTTATATGTTATTATCAAAGGTAACCTTGCTCAGCGTGTGCTTATTTTGGTAACAAACTTAATGAAACAAAACATGGCCGGTTCAGATAAAAACATCATTTTATATATTTTTTTAAAACCTTTAAAGTGCGTAAAAATATACCGTATAAGTAGTACCTCCTTTATAGATGCTCTCACCATGAATTTTGAAGACATTACTTCTTTTTTACATTTTTCCAATTATCTAAATTTATCAAAGGTCATGTGTTGCGACCGTCCAACCTCAATAATTATTTGATAAAGGTAATTAAAATGACTTAAATGTAATAATATGTATTTTTTTTTACACTTTTTGGCATTACTTCATATGTGATTTGCAGTCTCATAAATAAATTAATAAATATATAAATATAATTATATATATATATATATATATATATATATATATATATATATATATATATATATATATATATATATATATATATATATATATATATATATATATATGTAAGGTTAGGATATAGGGTTTTTTATCTGTTACTGATTAAATGGGTTTGGCTGTAATTTAATGACAGATTCTAATATATCTGCAGTGTGGGGACTATAAATCTGAAAATCAATTTGCTTAGCTTAGTATTTTTTGCTGTTGAATATAAGAGATTTTGCAGAAAAGTTTTTTATACATACATTGTTTAGATTTACTTATATCTTTCTACCCCTTTTGTACAACATTATAGAATAAAAAATCTCTTCATTGTCCCACAATAGGGAAATTCTGGTTTCTGACTTTTAGAAAAGAATTTTCACACAAATGTGGACCTTAGAAAAATGTATAAGAATAACATAATAGGGCAGTTAAAATATAAACAATACATTACTGCAAAGTGTTTCAACAATATCAAGCTGTTCACCCGGAGAATAAATAACCAATATGCAGCTATGGACATTTTTACAGTAATGGATATTTGAAAATAGCAGCAACATCAGAGATGTGAAGAATGACAGCAGCAGGTTATTTAACTGACTAAGGTGTCTATCATTACATTTGCTTTTATTTGTTCCGAAATCAAAGGATTGGTGGTTCAAGCCCCGGCTCCAGTGTCGTTGTGTCTTTGGGCAAGACACTTCACCTGCATTGTCTACTGATGGTGGTCAGAGGGCGCGGTGGCGCCAGTGTACGGAAGCCCCGCTTCTGTCAGTGAGCCCCAGGACAGCTGTGGCTACAATGTAGCTCACCACCATCAGTGTGTGCGTGTGAATGGGTGAATGACTGAATGTAGTGTAAAGCATTGGTCTAGTCTCCTGACTTGAAAAAGCGCAAGCCATTTATCATTTACCATTCCTGCTCCCGGTGGTTGGAACCTTTATTCCACTCTGGATTCTCATCAGTCTTTGTTCACTTTACATTAAATAATATATATATATATATATTTTTTTTTTAAAGAAACAGCTTTGAAATTCATTCACTTCCTGCTTTGTGTGTCAACTGTTACTGTTGCTAGGAGACAGAGCTCATACCGACCATGAATTGAAAAAATTCCCAGCCATTCTCTTTTTCTTTTTTTTTCTCTCGCGATGTTTGTCTCTCGCGAGACCAACAAACCTGCAACGCACGAGCCAGCTGCTTTTCCGGTTAGAGAGCACCATAATGGCTGCCGCTCAGCTCCACTCCTGTCCGAGACTACGACTCAAAACGTCCGCATTTCTGCTTTGATACATCTGCGACTCTAGGTGAGAGAAGCTTAGGAGGAAAGAGACAATAAGGTTATTTTAGAGATGATGGTTTTTATCGGCATTATTCAGGTTTTATTCGCGCGGAGGTTCCGCTGTTGTCTGCGCCAAAACAGCAACAAAGCTGCAAAGAGAAGCGATCTATTAAACCTGATATAACCGTAAAGGATTAAAAACCGGCCCTCTGTGTCTTCGACAGGTTTTATTTTAATTTTATTTGTTGTAAAGAGTGATGATAGGATAGAATTTGATTTTACTTTCGGTGCGAAACTGTCGTGTTTCTAAATGTTGTTTTTCTTTGCAAAAGGAAGCGACCGTTAACATTTCAAACGACTGATGATGCAAAGATGTGAGATGAATAAATATTTTTAAACTGGGATTTAATCGATTATAATAAGATGGTCATAGTTACTGGCAGGGGCGGATTTAGAAAATGTGGGGCCCTGGGCAAAGACAGGCAGAGCCCCCTCTGAAAGGAAAGGAGAAGCAACACATCAAATGTTGGCTTACTCCCTGATGACCCAACTCTCCCTGGTTGGTTGATAACCTTGACAGACAGGTTGAGTCGTGTCTGTGGCTCCACCCACCAACCAACATCACAGCTAGGCTCCCTCAGCACGCTCAGGCTAGCTTGGACCTGTTTAACGGTTCTTAGACATGCCGTAAAGGAAAACATCGCTGAACGCAGGACGAGGACAGGCCTGTACCGCGCTGGGTAAGCACTTCGAAGGAAGCAGTTTCAGGAACACAGACGTTGGGAGCGGTGAGCGCGTAAGGGCGAGCTGTTCCTGGTTCGACTCAGTTTCAATTAACGGAATAGAGAGCGTCCGTGTCAGCCGAGCTAACATGTAAAGGTGGGCTAGGTTTTTGGCTAGCGTTAGCATAAGAGTCTGGTTAACGTGGTGTGGCGGACGGACTTAACATCGGTTAAAAGCTAACGTGAAACAACGAGCTCCGTGTTTGTCTATTGTCATTGCTGCGGCTCCTACCCCTGCCAAAGGTTCGGAACTGTAAGCTAAAGAGGTTGTATCCCGCCCGCCGTCATCTATCTCGGGGCGGGACCCTCGTCCAATGTGCATTGCATGTATGGGCGCTAAAGGCTTCACTGGTGGACCCTCAGGGATGCCAGCACTTCGCCCTGGAAAGGCGGCTGAGGGTGGCTGTCGCTAACAGCCAGACCCACGCCTCTCCTCACCTTCAGCCATTGCTGCGGCCGCTATAAACCATCAGCTGCGAGCTTCTAAGAGCGGGGCGGACATGATGAAGGAGGAGTCCATGCCCCCCCTGTTTGAGGGTCTTATGGACGGCGGGAAACTCGATGCAGGCATCGATGAAACTGAGGGTGATCCTAACGCCGACCTCCTCCAACTAGAGGACATGAAGGAGGGGGAGGACTCGACCTTCCCATGTCAACGCTGTCCTATGGCTATGACCTGGATGACTGAGAATCTTCACCAGAATCTACCCCACCCCCCCTTCTGGACAAGAATGAGTTCATATAATCTAATATCTTACCTTTGTTCTCTGCTCTCTCTCCTCAGCTGTGTCAGTGGCCTCGCTGCTCTCCCACAATGCATTGCCAGAGGCCTTTGTGTTCATCTGACAGACCAGTATAACCATTAGCTCCACTCCTTCTAGTCCAAAAGGGAGCATCAAAGCAGGAAGGTATGAAACTTAAAATCATCTGTTGATATTTTTCTGATGTAAAACCAATATTCCAGCATTGGGTGTCGACTCTTAGCTCAGACAATAGGAGCACAAGTCAGACGTACTTTTAATCCTTATATTATAGTCTATGATGTTAATAAAAAAGGTTAGACTGAGTGATATTACTCAGAGAACAATAGTTAGAAAAACAACTGACCCTGAGTTTATTATTAACCAGTAGGGGGCAGTATTGGCATGGGTGTTGGATAGATATATAGTTTCTATATATCTATAGATATATAGATATTTCAATATCACTATATATTACGATATTTTCCCAGCTAATTATAATTAAAATTATATTTCAAAGATATAAAAAGAAAATGGAAGGAAATCCCAACCTTCTCTCACAGGGTTTCACTGGGTCATTAAAATCGATTAATTCATTACCTTATTTTAAATGTATCCCTTATTGGAATTAAAATTAATTAAATGTGATAATTGTGGCATTTAAAATGCTTTATTAAAAAAAAAAAAAGGCGTTTATAAAAACAATTTCGTCAGATATATTATATAGCGATGTATTTGCACGGAACTACTTCTGATTTATCGTGAAGTCGTATGTTCGCGGTGGAGAAAAAGCTAGAGAATAGGAAAATGCAAATTTCAACAAAAGTGGCTGAAAACGAGGAATATGGGACGTGGCTGCAGCCTGTCGACGGAAAAGATTTTTACCGTGTTTTTTTTTTATGTTTTTACACACACAAATATACATATATATATATTTGTTACTTAAGTAGAAGTATAGATACTGCAGTTTAAAAGTTGAAGTATTACCCTGACCTCTTTACTCAAGTAAAAGTGAAAAAGTATGTGCTCCAAAAACTAAAAGTATAAAAGTATAAAGTAACCTTTTAGAACAAACTGCCAGATGCCGCTATATGAATTGAAATCTCAATTTTTTGACTGTTTCTATAAATCCTCTGAGATAGGGCCAAGGATGAGGGAGGTCTGGTTGGTCTCCGTCTCCCGATACGCTCTCTCCTGTGTCCGACCTTTCAGACATTTCAGCATCTTTTTCTGAATCCCACATTGTAGCATGGCATAGACAATTCACGTTAGCAGTTTGAAGAACACCTGCTTGCTTCTGATGGTTTCCTTTAGCTAACCAATGAGTGTTTGCGTTATACGACTCATCCAATCACACTAGTTTTCACTAGATGTGGGTGGAGCCAATGATCTGCATTGGATGGAGCACATGACAGGAAATAAAGATTTAGAAACATTAAACCAGGGGGAACCAATTGAAAATCAGTGGGTCTGAATAAAGAAAATCATCAACCAGTAAATGTCAGGAGACATTTTTAATTATAATCTGTTACTTTAAACATAATTTAACACTGAAATAAAATGCAGGTTTTTATGCATCCAGGTTATACATTGAAGTTTTAAATAAGAAAATACAAAAAATAGAAAATCTTTCCACTTAAAATCTAAATAGTTTTTGAAGTAGAGAACAACAATCGTTCAGTTTGGTTTATAGATAATTTCCTGATTCCCATATTTTCTCAAACCCCTGAACTGATGGTTTGTTATTTTCTTTCTTTTTTCCGTCTTAATGTTGGCAGTGGGCTTTAGGCTGCCCTGCAAGGCTTTAAACCTGGGTTTAACCGGAGACTAAGCCATTCTCAAGCACATATCAAGGAGCTCATTTTGAGCCTGGATCCAGATTTATTGTTGATTCTGTTCATGGTGGAGAATCCTGCTTCACAGCAGCAGGTTGAGCCAAACATCCTCTAAATGTGCAGGCTCCGCTCCGGTCCGGCCAGGTCAGGATCCGCTTTGCAATCGCACCAAACAGCAGAAAGAACGGCGAGAAGATCCGGGTTGTCAAATTAAACTATAGTAACAACAGATCAGTAACTACACATCACAGCATAATTCTTTTATATTTAAAAAAACTAACACAGTTTATTTAAAAGACTGGATGCTGTCAGCTAATCTGTGACCTCTGCGTTAAACCGAAGACAAGAGTAACGAGTAACGTTTGTTTTATGTAAGGAATAGAAAGTACGGATACTGGTGTGAAAATGTAATGAGTAGAAGTAGGAAGTAGGAAGAAAAATAAGTAATGGAGTAAAGTATAGATACCTAAAAAGTGTACTTAAGTACAGTAACAAAGTATTTGTTCTTTACTTGACACCTCTGATAAACCCTGTCTCTCAAGCAGTCAAATAGATTTCCATTAAACACTGTTAAGATCAATAGTATGTCAGTGAGTTCATTTCTAAGAAACACCTAAATGGCAGCCTTGGTTGGGATTTGCAAGAAACACAAAACCTGTAGCCTCAAAGAAAATCTTTTTTTTTTTTATGGAATAAGTGCATTTGTAACAAGATCACTAATGTCATTATGGAACAGGGGTGCCTTAGAAGAATGTTTTTTTAATCTTTTGTTTAGTCTTTACCTTAACCGACTCCTAGTGAGAGGAGGATAACCTCACGCCCACTGATAAGTACGATAGAAGCTCTGTTATGCTGTGGGTCAGTCCAAAGCATTGTGAGCTCTGCAAAAAACTGTAAATCTAAATCTAATGGGCTGTTCCAAAAAGAAACAACCTGAAAACGACTTGATATTCAGCAGACAAAAAAAATATAAAGACGGCAACATTGGCACAGAAATGGTTCAAAATACACAGAATCAAAATGGAGTATGTAAAACCAAATCCTTTTAAGGAACATGTGGGGGAGGGGCTCTGGAGAGAAGGGAGCTCAGGATCCAGGTCTCTAAATATGATGTTAGTCGTACAAAGGTCAGAGATTCTCCAACTGCAAGAAGCAGGTTTTTTAAAGTTAATTTGCATTAAATCCCAAATCTGTTTTAGGCAGAGGAAGAACGATCAGAGGCACCTTGGCTGATTGGAAGAAGCTGTTGGACTAAATTACAACCTATTGAAAATCAGTGTTCTGTTAATTGATCTTAGCAAAGATAAAAGTTTTGCAACAGAAGTTGCAGCATTTACCATCAATAAAGAACAAAACTTTAGCTTTAAACATTAACCTTCGATTCAACAGGAAGCAAAAAGCTGCTTCAGATGATGATAAATGAAACATTTGTTTCCAGTCACCTTTGTTCAGACGGACATTTGGTCTCGGCTTTTTTCTTTTTTTTTCGGGTGGAATAAAACTGTATTTACAGTTAATTACAACGACTGATTGATCAGTTGCTGATACGCCTACTGGGTTAATTGACAGGCGACGCCATGACGGTTTGATGACCAGGGAAACTGTTTGTTTTTTAACTTTTGGATTAAATATACTGATTTAATGCCTAGAAATTTATTTTTACAAAATTTTCAATTTTAAGAGGTTTTACTGCTGTCATTAAAGTTTTTTTATAGTTAAACCTAATATACTATTTATCCTTATTGTAAGCCTATTGGGGCCGCCTTTTACAGTTGCCTTTTGTATCTATGCTTCTTTTTCTATGTCTGCTTCTGTCTCCTTGAACCCCAGTGGGCCTCAGCAGATGGCCGCTCACACTGAGCCTGGTTCTGCTGGAGGTTTCTTCCTGTTCAAAGGGAGTTTTTCCTCTCCACTGTCGCTACAAGCATGCTTAGTGTGAGGGATTGCTGAAGAGTCAATGAGTCGATGCAATCAGCTGGTTTTCCTTAGATAGAAAACTTTGAATCAATCTGACTGGATGATCTGGTGAACTGGAAAGTGACCTGAGATGACATGATGGGAATTGGAGCTATAGAAATAAACTGAATAGAATTGAATTAAGCCTGTTGATTTCCTTCCTCTGTTTAGAAATCCCTGTTTTCTGTTTTTGTCTTTCAGGTTCTCCTCTGACTGAACTTGTTTATTAACTATCTGCAGTTATGTCTGGTTCTGGTGACCTACCAGGTGAGGAATAAATGAGCGGTTCAGACTAAAGGCAACGTTACTGTTTCTATTTCTTAAAGCTATAGCTGGACTGAGGTGTGTTTGATTGCTGCCTCCTGCTTCTTTAACCTTAGTTTATTTTAACAAGTTAAGTAACAATACTTAGATTACATTATAGAACTTGGTCTAAAAGCCTAAAATGAAAGTTATTGAAATAGATTTGAACCAGACAGGATCACACCTTCGCTCCGTATCCCTTCCAGAGATTCACCATCGCTCGTTCACTCTTCTGTTTGTAGTTTCCAGCTGTGGGAAGATTCTGACCTGAACATCAACATAGTCAAAGTCCGTCAGAAAAGGCGCCTCAAACCGGCGCCTTTAAACATGAAACTAGTTCAGCTCCTCATGTTAACCTGCAGGATGGAGCAAAGCTTTTTGTTTCTAGATCCTAACCTACTTCTACATTATTCTATTGGATGTTTATATGCTGCTAAAATGACCCTTACTGAAATAATTCTCTGTAAATTAATAATTTATCATTTCAAAAAAGATATTGAAACTTTTCCTTTTTAAGTAGATCTGCTGTCGGTATTCCTAATAACTCAAGTAAAATGATAAACGTCTGTCTGCTGGTTTTTCATTTCAGGAACATAATAGGAAATATTTTGCATTACATTAAACGTTATACTTTAAACTTGACTTCATTTTCACTTTATTTTGACAGTCTGAGAATGAAGATTTTTCTTTAATCCATCTTTTCGTAGAATAGGATGAAAAAAAAAATCAGATTGTTGCTGATTTAGTTTTTAATAAATTAATGTAGAATATTTAAAAAAATGTCATCGCACATATATGCATCTGTACTATTCATTTAAAAATGTACTTTTAACTAAACCTGTAGAAAAAACAAATGTCTTGTAGAAATTTAGATAAAATCATTTTGTATGAATTTTAATGTTGGTGAAAAGAAAGAAAGGAAGCCATTTTCTTTAGGGAAATGTTTGTAGTTTATCCTGAAGCCAAAGGGTTAACAGTGATTCTTCCTCTGGGGGGGGTCTGCAGCCATCGAGGGTTCTGGGATGGGCGGAATGAGACTTCCTGTTGGAATGACTCGACGGGCCCTCAGCTATGACGATAACCTGGAGGCCCCCATGTCCACGCCACCTCATGACATCAGCATCAACAACCTGTGGAGGAGGCCCATCATCCCAGAGAGGAAGTTCTCCCAGCTCGCTGAGGTAACGACACAGCAGAACATGGTCTTCATGTCTGAGGATTCAGTCAGAGCAGGATGGTTTAACCTCTCAGGGGTTTTCTTACAGGAAGATGAAGGCGGTCCATCCAAACAGGCTGCAGTGCAGGACGGCGCCATCTTTAAGGCCCCAGCTGTGGTGAAAACCAAGGCTTCATCGATCATCATGAATTCCCTCATCACCAGTATGTTGGAGCTCCTGATCCACATAAAGCTCACTTCCTTGTTTTGTCTGAACAAATGGTTCAAAGATCAAGACATAAAAACATTCGTTTTTTCTTCTGCAGAACAATTAGGGCCAGGCGTTAGAGATTTTTTTAATTTCCAGAATAAAGTCGTAATATTACGAGAATAAAGTAATCAGACAACCCGTTTCAGAAAGAAAGCTTGGAGCTCCGCCCAGCAGATGACGGCTGACCAGCTCCACCAATCAGCAACCAGAGTCCACTTTGACATCGTGCCCAGTTTGATGCTGCTGCTAAAAGATTTCCTGATTGGTCAAACCGATGCTAAAGTAGAACTTCACATGAGGCTCCACATTCCTCATTTTAGGGAAGAAAGGGCTTCTGGGAAGAGATGTCATAAAATACAACTTTATTCCCGTAATATTACGACTTGATTCTCGTAATATTAAGACTTGATTCTCGTAATATTACGACTGGATTCTCGTAATGTTGCGACTTTATTCTCGTAATGTTGCGACTTTATTTTCGTAATGTTGCGACTTTATTCTCGTAATGTTGCGACTTTATTCTCGTAATGTTGCGACTACACTCACCGGCCACTTTATTAGGTACCCCATGCTAGTAACGGGTTGGACCCCCTTTTGCCTTCAGAACTGCCTCAATTCTTGGTGGCATAGATTCAACAAGGTGCTGGAAGCATTCCTCAGGGAGTTTGGTCCATATTGACATGATGGCATCACACAGTTGCCGCAGATTTGTCGGCTGCACATCCATGATGCGAATCTCCAGTTCCACCACATCCCAAAGATGCTCTATTGGATTGAGATCTGGTGACTGTGGAGGCCATTTGAGTACAGTGAACTCATTGTCATGTTCAAGAAACCAGTCTGAGATGATTCCAGCTTTATGACATGGCGCATTATCCTGCTGAAAGTAGCCATCAGAAGTTGGGTACATTGTGGTCATAAAGGGATGGACATGGTCAGCAACAATACTCAGGTAGGCTGTGGCGTTGCAACGATGCTCAATTGGTACCAAGGGGCCCAAAGAGTGCCAAGAAAATATTCCCCACACCATGACACCACCACCAGCCTGAACCGTTGATACAAGGCAGGATGGATCCATGCTTTCATGTTGTAGACGCCAAATTCTGACCCTACCATCCGAATGTCGCAGCAGAAATCGAGACTCATCAGACCAGGCAACGTTTTTCCAATCTTCTTTTGTCCAATTTCCATGAGCTTGTGCAAATTGTAGCCTCAGTTTCCTGTTCTTAGCTGAAAGGAGTGGCACCCGGTGTGGTCTTCTGCTGCTGTAGCCCATCTGCCTCAAAGTTCGACGTACTGTGCGTTAGGAGATGCTCTTCTGCCCACCTTGGTTGTAACGGGTGGTTATTTGAGTCACTGTTGCCCTTCTATCAGCTCCAACCAGTCTGGCCATTCTCCTCTGACCTCTGGCATCAACAAGGCATTTCCGCCCACAGAACTGCCGCTCACTGGATGTTTTTTCTTTTTCGGACCATTCTCTGTAAACCCTAGAGATGGTTGTGCGTGAAAATCCCAGTAGATCAGCAGTTTCTGAAATACTCAGACCAGCCCTTCTGGCACCAACAATCATGCCACGTTCAAAGTCACTTAAATTACCTTTCTTCCCCATACTGATGCTTGCTTTGAACTGCAGGAGATTGTCTTGACCAAGTCTACATGCCTAAATGCACTGAGTTGCCGCCATGTGATTGGCTGCTTAGAAATTAAGTGTTAACGAGCAGTTGGACAGGTGTACCTAATAAAGTGGCCGGTGAGTGTATATTCTCGTAATGTTGCGACTTTATTCTCGTAATGTTGCGATTTTCTCGTAATGTTGCGACTATATTCTCGTAATGTTGCGACTATATTCTCGTAATGTTGCGACTTTATTCTTGTAATGTTGCGACTTTATTCTCGTAATGTTGCGATTTTATTATCGTAATGTTCAATTCAATTCAGTTTATTTATATAGCGCCAAATTCACAACACATGTCATCTCAAGGCACTTTACAGTTCAACCAGATCATACAGTCAAATTGATACAAAGTTTTCTATCTAAGGAAAACCAGTTGATTGCATCGACTCATTGACTCAAATACAATCCCCCACACTAAGCATGCTTGTAGCGACAGTGGAGAGGAAAAACTCCCTTTTAACAGGAAGAAACCTCCAGCAGAACCAGGCTCAGTGTGACTTTATTCTCGTAATGTTGCGACTTTATTCTCGTAATGTTGCGACTTTATTCTCGCAATGTTGCGATTTTATTCTCGTAATGTTGTGACTATAATCTCGTAATGTTGCGACTTTATTCTCGTAATGTTGCGATTTTATTCTCGTAATGTTGTGACTATATTCTCGTAATGTTGCGACTTTATTCTCGTAATGTTGCGACTTTATTCTCGTAATGTTGCGACTTTATTCTTGAAATAGAAAAAAAATCTGTAGCCTGGCCCTAATAGTCCGTTGTACGATAGCATCAGTTCATTCCTGTAGAGTTAATCTATGATTGTAACATATTCCAATAAAAACGTTCCGCCCTCAGAGCAAACGCAGGAAAGCATGTACAAGTTTGAGCAGACGGCAGGACTCACCGACACCAGTTACACTCCACACAAAGGTCTGACAGCTGAGGAGACCAGACACCACCACCGCGTGCCGGAGTCCCTCCAGGTGAGGCGCAGAGCTACGGCGGTGATAAACAACGTTAGAGTCTATAAGATTAAAGGATGGAGGTAAAAGGCCAGCTGACCAATCACAGCTATAGGTCACACCAACTGGATCCTATGAGGCCATGAAGGGCTGATTTTAATCATCTCTGTCATTTCTGTCCTATTAGAACCATTGTTTACCACATTTTCCCAAATTACAGGAAATATGTCTCCAATATGGCTCGCCATTTGTATTTAATTGGTCACACTAAGGTCCAGAACAACCACCTGTCTAGAATGTCAATGGTCTAGCCATGTGTTAATAAAGCCGCTTCACACCTTGGTGATTCAGACCAGCGTATGCCTGACGTACGGAAATCTAGAAAAAACGCTGGCATACCATGGATCAGTTATGGATACGTTTGTATAAGTTATGAACACGCTGAAACACGCTGGCACACATGGACATACGGCTGTACGTCCCGCCATACACCAGCGTCTGCCATCCGTGGTCCATCAGTTCCAGGTCAGTTATCTGATGGTCGACATCCGTTCAGCATCAGTTCCTCATCAGTCGTGGCGTCTAGCTGATCCTAAACCTCTGAGGAACTTCTGCGTAACTTATCCAGAACTTCTCTCCAACATATCAGCGTATCTGCCGTGTTCCAGACGAGCGCTGAACGTGTTTCTACCTTCCAGCTACTGTATAATGGCGTATTGGCAGCGTTTTGGTATAAAGGGGGTTCACAGGAGGAAACCGTCAGTTCTCCTCCAGACTTCATCCCCATCATAGGGTGAGCCAGAAGGTGAGTGATGGATCCTCCCTGCGTTCACGCCCACCACCAACACACTTCCTAGCAGACATGACGCTCAATCTGCTCCCACCAGAAACCTGCTTTATGTCCTTTATTCTGCTTCCCTCGCCCCGAAATCCCACATCCTCAGTCACCGCTCCGCCCTGTTCCAGACCGCCTCCGCCATTCCTCCCATCCTGCTGTTTCAACTTCCCTGTAGCTCCAGGAGAGCCTGTGCTATATTATTATTAAACCACTGGAGCAAAACATCTGGAAATGAACGCTTAATTTAATGACATGTTAAAAAAATTCCCATCAGCATCCTGCATATGTTCAGTTTCTGCCCAAATATTTTCATTTGGATTTTAGTAACGGGGAGAACTAGGATCATCCATGGTTTGGATGAACTATGTTTGGTCTCTGCTTCCAAACTCAGCATCTCTTCATCCATTCCTGCAATAAGAGGTTTGGTTTTAAGTTGAGAGGCACTTTTGGAAGCTGGATTTGATTAAACTTTTAAGCCTCTCTGTAAATAAAATAAATATTTTGATGAAGTATGATGAAGAACCGTATAGTTTGCATCCAATCATTTAATTAAACAGTCTTAGTTTTTGGGAATATATAAGAATTATATATCTGTCACTATGTTTGAATGCGACAAACCGGATCTTCTCGCCGTCCTTTTTCCTGTTTGGTGTGATTGTAATTGCGGATTTTGAGCAAGAAATAGCTTGGCTTTGTTTTATGACGGTGACGGATGGAGAGGAGTAGCGGTGGATGTGGAACAGCTTTAAATGATTAACATGACAGACCAGTACTCCGCACGACGTACGTGGGTGGAGCGGAGCGCTGGCGGAGGATGTAGAACCTGTGGGTAAGGAGCAGCGATGCGCCGGAGGTGAGCAGCTTTAACGATTGAAATGCCTGGGCATAATTTCCTGGGCATCATTTCCTGGCCATTACACTGCCGTGCGTTATGAAGAAGTTAGGCTGTCGTTGGACAGAAGTTCTGGACTCGTCATTAATACTCTATATATATATATATATATATATATAGACGCCCACAACTGAAAACAATCCATAGTAGGTCAGCCTATGTCAGTGTTTGAGGAGATTCTGGGACGTCAGGCAGACGCTGGATAAATCGGCGAGGTGGGACTGGAGCCTAAGGTTAACATGTATGAAAAAGCTTCCCTGAAACTGACAGAGCGTCTGCATTATCACCTCTACCAATGAGAGATGTTTGTTTCTGATAATAAATTCATCCAAACTAACCCCTCTGTGTTTGTTGTGTAGAAGCTGCAGATCCAAAGCCTGGAAGCCAGAGAGGAGAAGAGTTCTTCTGCTCAGTCAACTCCATCAAACACGCCACACAGCTCCCCTAAACAACAGCGCAGGTACAGGTGCTGAAGGTTTGGACGTAGACCTCTTCAAAAAATAATAACTTTTGATTTTCATAGCAGGACGATTTACTATTCTTTCAAGGTCAAAAATCACAATCGTTTTGTTCTCAGCCAATCTGCCACATTATAACGTCTAGATAACGAAACACCGTCGCATTTTTAGAGGCAGGGTAGAGAATTATGCTATTACTTCTAAAAAATAGACTGGCAAAGTTAGCAATAATATCATTTAAAAGCTAATAAATTCCCTACTAATCCATGTAAAAATATATACTATGTGTTTTAATTGCATATATTTGTAAATTACATATTTTGCTAAAACACCCTTAAAACTGAAAACTTATTTTATCTTGATTGAAAATTGCTTTTTATTTAATAAGTCATAATATAGAAGTCAACTCTGATTAAAATAAAGTTATTTTCTTTTTTTATATTTTGTACAAAAGCATTGGTATTTTCTGTTCTCATGTTGAATCCATTAAATTATGTAAATTCCAAATGTTGGGCGTCGGGCACAATTGATTATTATAAATTTTGATGCAATAGTCGTGCAAAGATGGCAGTAACACCAGAAGAAATCTAAGACATTTTTCTATTTCCTAATTTCCTAAAAGCTTTTAAATGGTATAATTGCCAACTTTGCAAGGCTAATTTTTAGAAGTTAGAGAATATTCTCTACCTGGTCGGGTTCGAAACAGAGGGAAATCATCCAGTCTGTTGTGAAAATCAATAATGTTTTATTTTTTTGAAGAGGTCTAGTTTGTCAGCCTGTGGGCAGAACGGCTAATCAGCTGGTTTATTGACCTAAATATAAGCTGGTGAAACGCTGTGTGTGCAGGGGCTGGTTTGGAGGTACGAGCTCAGAGGTCAGCATCAGCTCCTCCAACAGCAGCATGGACGTGGGGGGAGGAGGAGTTTCAGGAGAGCACATGGGAGGCGCTGCGGTGGATCGCTGGGGAGTGTTTGGGCCTCGTCTGCCTGTCCAGAGTTCAACTCCTGATGTGGGATCAGATGGTTCTGCTGCAGGTAATGGCTTCTCTCCACATAGACCCACAGCATGACTAAATATGAACAATATTATTTTATTTTAGGTGAAGCTTTAGCAGCCTGTTTTGATTCATTTAGCAGCATGAGGAGGGTTGACATCTACTGTCAGATTCTGGATTCAGGTTAAAGGATGAAAGTCGGACCTTCAGACCAGCAGCAAACACTGAGCCCCCCCCCCCATTGGCCTCTGGAGAGGCTCACGCAGACTGTCTGTTCACATAAAAACATTTCTACAGCAGAAATAGCTGCTCACTATCTGCTGTTAGGCGTTAACTGATGGAACGCTTCGCTTTCAGCTGGAGACTTTTAAAGCTTTTCCTCCAGAATGACTCTAGGTACGTAATATGTTCAGATAAACAGGATTATTTTTAAGAATTAGTTATAGAGTTTCTGCATTCAAAATAATTTAGAGCTGTTGTGTTTTTTCCCCCTAACATCATTTTAGGGAATTTTAAACGGGATAAATCAAGAAACCAGTGTTTAATTGAATTAAAGGTAATTTAGCTGCTTTAAAGGAAAAGTCCAGTTATGAAGGAATAATCAATGGATCATTATTTAAACCTAAAACTAAAACGTTTGCAAGGATTTCATGATTTTAGGGTTAATCAGTAAAAAAAAAAAAATAATTTTGTTGTGATCACTGAGTCTGGGAGCGGCCATCTTTGCCCAAATATAGTAGCCCCTCCCTCCTGCCATCTTCCAGCAGTGACGTCACGGTGCGGTAAGCCTAGCGCCGTTCTCCCCGCTTTACAAGCTAAATCAATGGGAACTACTAGACACATCTGCAATCAACAACAATTATTGAAGATTTCCAGAGGACTTCACCATTGAAATTCACCAGAGCTATAGTGAAACTGACAATGCCCACGTGCATGGCAGCTGGATGCTGGAATACATCGGGTAAAAGTGAAAAAAAGAGTTATTCCACCTTTCTGATTCCTGATCCTCCACGGACGGGTTGGTCGTTGGATCGCCAACTTGAAGAGGGAGGATTTGCCATCGAACTTCTGGCCAGAGAAAAAACCCGTAATATGTAGCCGACATTTGGAAGAAGAATGTTTTCAAGATGACTTGGATAATAGCGCGTTGTGACAAACACCAGATACAGCACTGGGACTTGATCAACAGCCGATACCGCACCGTGACAATGTCACTAACCAGTAGGTGGCAGTAGTGTTCTTTGACAAACATGGATGCCTCCAGTAAAGCACATTCACATGAAAATTACTGTGAATTAAAAACACTGATCATTTATTGAACAGGATGGAATCATTTCACATTTAAAGAGCTTTCAGAATTTGAATCCTGAATATGAGCGACTTTTGCTTTAAACGGGAAGAAAATTGGGACATAATTAATGCATAATTGTAGAAATCAATAATAAAACAAAATATATATTAAGATAAGAGTAGAATTTAAAATATAATTAGGAAATAACTCTTTCATTGACCATATCTCTCTCCTCCCTCCAAGGTTTTCTAAAAGATGGCGGTCTGTAGGCTCCGATGGCCGTTAATGAACTTTGAATTTGGCCATTTTCCATCCAGCCTCATTTTACTAGCAGAGTTTGACCTAAAATGCTCTCCGTACTTCAGAGCTCATAATGTCCTGCTGTGGGAAAATACCCGCAGCATCATAGATCCTCCACCATGCTAAACAATGAGTGTGGGCATTTTTTTCTTATCCTTGTTTTCATGACAGACCCAGATGTTTGAGTTTGGGATCATTTCCAGATAACCAATCAGCTTCTAGATGGTGTCCTGGATGCAGCTCTTTAAGCTTTAGATGCTTTCCCAGCTGATGTCCTCTGGCTGAAGATCTGAGCAGCTTTAGGCAGGTTGCTAGTTTGAACCTTCTAGTGAAAAAAGTTTTACTTTATATTCTGATTGATGATTTGATATTCCACACTTTATTTAATAAATTCAAACAAAGTCATTTTTTGTTATTCTGAGATGCTGCTGCTGTATGTTCTCTCAGGCACCCATAAATCAGCAGAACTGCAGCTGAAACTGTCAGATTCGATCATCCGTACGCAGATGTTGAACCGGCGTCTCTTTCCCAGCAGGCTTTGCCATCCAGGCGTACCGTGGAGCACAGAAACCCACCCCCATGGAGGTGATGAAGTCCCAGGCCACACGGCTGGCCGACAACCCCCAGAGAGTTAATCCGCCTCAGATGGAGATCCCCACCATGGAGGGCAGGCGGCAGGGAGCGCGGCCGCACAAGCTCAAACACCGAGACATGAACATCCTGACGCCGTCCGGCTTCTGAGGTCGTGACCTCCAGTGCTGCCAAGGTCCCATAAAACGAGCCCGGTCTTATGGTGCGCCAGCTAGCTTCCAGGTTAAACTGTCTTAGAGCGGAAACTTCTTCCAAAGAGAAATGTTTGTTTTTTGCTCATTTCATGTTCATGCCTGCTTTATATTGGGAAGAAAATCGACTCTATTCAGACCAAAATGTTTCTAGACGAGTCCCTGGGTTAGTTACATTCTTTCAGAAAGGTAACCAAACTTTAAATTTCCTCTGAGAGCAAATAGATGAACTGTAATGTTAGAAAAGTGGTCAGCTGACCTCCAGCTAAAGGTTTTCCTTCCTTCTGACCATCGGGCAGCTCAAACACGATGAAGCATCTTCTCTCCTCCCACTGCTGTTCCCGCAGCGTTTCAATCAGCTCGTGTTTAAGCCGTTTTAGTTTGCTGTTACCTTCTTTATTATGTTGAGTATTTTCATGTTTCAGGTTTTTTCAGCTTTCACTGATTTTTGTTCACTCATTTCATTCCTTCATACTTTCATTTCGGCGCTGAAACTCATCCACAGACCATTTTACATCATGATTTACACAAATGCTCATTATAGTAATATTCAAATCAGATGGAAAATGTCATTTCCTGAATTTTTATTTTTCCAATCTATTTCCATTGATATGTAATATGACCAATCAGGGCCTCTGACTGTTGCTAGGTAACACTTATCTGAGTCATATAGCCATATTTCAGGATAGAAGTTCCTTTAAATTGCCGCGGTGTGAAACGGTGAAGCTTTGCAACCGTTAGTGTTACAGAAGGATCTGCTGGTTGCAGCGTTTCTCATCCATCTGCTTTCACTCCCCTGAAGTTTGTTCTATTCATGTCATTTTGGTTTTTGGTACCAAAAAAAATGCTTTTCATGGGACCTTTGATAGCTACTGTAACTCCTTCCTTTGAATTTCCACCCAAACCGCAATATATATAAAAAAAAATCCAACTGTGCTAGTTGTTGCTTTGCTCTAAAATCACATCTTTTTTCTGAAGCTTTGACTAAATCCATTTGAAATCAGGCTGCAGGTTTGTGTCGGTTTAGTTCAGCAGACGTTAACATGTGGTCCTATTTAAATGCACTTTATCCCCATTAGAAGCTGTTTAATCGGCCTTGCTTTGGAGGCGAATCATTGAAGTGTTGACCAAACAATAAAGCATAAAATGATTCCCTATATGTTGTAAAGGTCGTCTCAGGATCAAAGGAATGAAATGCTCTTTTATTTTAGTTGTTGTACAGATTTAAGAGAAATCAGAAGGATGGAGAAATCCAGAGTGGAAAAATGAAATCCTCATTTTCTCTCTGAAATATGGAAGAGCTTAAACCTGTTAGAGAATAAAAACCATAAAAACCAGAACCGTTTATCTGTAGTTTCCATTTGAAGGATTGTTTTGTTTGTTTGAACTTGTTTGGAGTTTATAAACTGCTGAGTGAATCGACTGAAACTAAAATGTTTTATCTTGATCATGCATCTGACAGCAGCTCTGTGTTCGGCTGCCTGAGAAACTTCCTGCATTCATCACCAGGAAAATGTATTTAAAAATGATTTGCTTTCCTTGTTTGCAGCTGATAGTTGACATAAAATAAAAGGTTTCTGTAAGAGGATGCATGCAGAGCGTGTTTAACGAAGCACTTAGGTTTTTGATCCGGCTCTTGTTTCCACTCTTGCACCTTTTTTTTCTTTATAAAGCAAATAATTATTCTCTGGTGATTTAAGTTCAAATTCCTGAAAGTTAACGAGCTGTTACTGCTGTGACCTTCAGACGCTGTCGTTCTGTCGTCACTAACTGTTAATGTTTGTATGTGTGTACCTGTTGGTAATTAGATTGTAGCGTTTATGTTTACAAGAACTTAGTGGTCAGTGTGACCCCCCCCCCCTTTATTGGGACTGAAGCATCACCATTAGACGTTCTCTCTGTAGGCGTGACTCAGTGTTTCTGATTGTGAGTGCATACAGGTGAGCTCAATAAATATTCCACTCTCGTCCGAAAGGAGCCACGACTCTGAGCTTTTATTTATTGGGGTTTTAAGAAGTTTATTTTAATAAATGTCATTGGCACTTCATGATAAAGAGGAAGATCTGGATCTCATCATAGCCTGCTGGGAATCCTGCCTTCAGTCTTCATTTAATTGTTGGATTCAGTGGCTAAAATTAAAACAAGTTGAGTTAAAATTGGTTGTTAGAAAAGTCTGTATCATGCAAAGACAACAGTTATAGATTTATTTAACAGTTATAGATGTTTTATAGTATATAAAAAAAAAAATCTTCAATGCAGTACCAGATATTAAAGGCCCAGCCGTAACGGTCCGGTTTTTACATGATATGTGCGAGACGTTCAAGCATCTCAGTAAGTTAAGATTTCATTTAATGGTATATATTTTGACTTATTTTTCCTTTAGCTTAAAGTCGTAGGGAAATCATATTTAGGTCAAATAATTCTGACTTAAACATCTATATAAATGTTCTCTTTATCAGACCATATTGTCCAAAAATTTAGAACATTTATGCTTTTAAACAAATCCTGTCTTAAAAAATCTTTTTTTTTTTTTCGTTATCTTCTGCAGGCCAGTTAGTTCTCCGTCAGCCTGAACACCTACATTCGGCCAATCATATATCAACGGTCATCTGTCAATCAAATGTTTTCGGTCATAGCATCTTGATTCATGTGTCGCAGCTAATATACGCAACGATTTAAAAAAAGAATCCTTTCCTTTCCCATTGAGTTGCGTCCCAGTGTTCACGGGGATGGACGTCTGTGTCTTCGGCAGGCGTAGAGCTAACAGAACTGGTAGCGTTGCGAGGCAAGGGCTCAAACATGTACGGCTGGAAGCCTTCTACACCAAACCAAGCTTCTGCCGCCCTGGCGTCCTCTTCCACAACATCTTCGTCCCCGCTTTCCTCCTCTAAATAAAAAATGGATGACGGAGGAGACTCATCCACGACCTCCGACACTAAACTCTCCTCCTCTTGCATGTTTCCGCTGTCCATAGCGTTCCTTGACTGCGTCGTTTCTAAGGCACCAATTTAGTGCTACTTGGTCCCAATGGAATTTCCCATTGGGAACCTGCTAGCACTAAGATGCTAACTGGTTAGCAAGATGCTTCCAACAAACTGGCCATAACCAAAAAGCTTGCCAACCTTTTGCCACAACAATCCCGCCCCCTTGATAATCGACCAATCACATTCACTTTATTCAATCGTGTAAAGTCAGGCACGACTTGGAGAATTCAGAAATGCAACGGTTGGAACAGCCGCTTCTCTACGACTTTAAGAGACAATGTTCAAAAATAACCCTTGTTTCACTCTTATTGAGCTTCTGAAGTAAACTTTTTTTTTTATTAGATGCATCTATAATTTATAATTTGGGCAGTTCCAACTCTTGGGGCCGAGTATCCTGCAACTTTTAGATCAATCCTTGGTCCAACACACCTGAGTTACCTCCTCAATCACTGATCTCTATTTATTCACTGGATTGCTGATTGCCTGAAAAAAGTGAAGCCACCGGCCGCCATGTTGGTACTCCCCACTCCGACAGAGACGTGCAGTAAAATGCCTCCCTGTGCAGCATTTAGCTGCTAAAACCAGCAGTTTTCTGGCTGCAGGAAGACGTTCCTCAGGTCATTTCCCAGTCAGTGGATGAACTAAGCAATAAATCCATCTATAGCTGATGGATCCTATAGTTTAGTCTGCAGACTAACATTAGTCTGGCTATCTCAGACTGACTGGAAGACATTGACTATTAATTTTATGCTTCATTATTATTTTTAACTATGGCAGGATGGGTCCTCCATTGTTTTTGTAGTGTTTGTATTTCTCATTTGAAAAAGTCCTGTGTTGAAATATATCACATGTTATACTGAGAAAAAAAAAACAACTACTCATGCATTTGACCCATATATATCTATATATATATATATAGATATATATATATAATTATGTTGCATGCATTACCAGACATGTAAGATGTAATCACCATAACAATGTCATCAATCCATGTTTATTACATGAACATCATCAATTTAGCATTTTGTCTCATCTGTATTATTCTGCTCCATTAACACATTAATTTTACTGTGATTAATTTGTATAATATGTTATATAACATGATTTATAATGACCATGCAATTTGATGGGCTGATTTTTTTTAATTCTAAGTAAAAGTTAATCTACTGATGCTATAAAACAGCCAGTGTGTGACAAAGTGATGAATTTATCTTTATTTAAAAAATTTGAAGTCCCCCTGAAAATGAGAACATCATGGTTGTTCGATGCTGTGGTTCAGGCATCCCCAACCACAGTCCTGGAGGCCCGCTGTCCTGCAGGTTTTAGAGGTTTCCCTGCTTTAGCACAGCTGATATTAAAGATTGCAGTAGACCATCCATCCATCTTCTAGCACGCTTATCCCGAGTGGAGTCGTGAGGGGCGCTGGTGCCTATCTCCAGCTGTCAATTGGCAGGAGGCGGGGTCCACCCTGGACAGGTCTCCAGTCCATCGCAGGGCAAAACAGAGACAACCAGGACAAACAACCATTCACGCACACAATCACACCTAAGAAGCATTTAGAGAAGCCAATTAACCTAACAGTCATGTTTTTGGACTGTAGGAGGAAGCTGGAGACTTTGGGCCGGGAATCGAACCTGGAACCTTCTTGCTGCAAGGCAGCAGTAGACCATAAGCCTGTTAATCAGCGTTCAATTAAAATCACATGTGCTGAAGCAAAGGAAACCTGTAAAACCTGCAGGACAGCGGGCCTCGAGGACTGAAGTTGGGGATGCCTGCTGCAGTGCACAGATTGTTTACATTGCGACCGGTCTAACTAGGGAGTACCAATATGGCGGCCGTTGGCTGCGCTCCAACCCCGTTCTATGGTCAATCAGCGATCCATTAAACAGAGATCAGGTTCCTCCAGACTCCCCTCTATCATCTAATTACTTGATTCCGGTGTGTTGAACCAAACTCCCATCTAGCAGTTGCAGGATAGCGGCCCTCAGAACCTGGAATCATCCACCCCTGATTTAGAAGAAGCTTGCAGATTTGCCCTCAGAAGCAATATCTTTACCAGGCTGTTGCTGTTGATCGTCTCGCCTCACAAACCATCATAGAAGGTTGGGCAGCGTTAGGTGGAAGTTTTCTGCTGAGAATCTAGAGCTTTCTTCAGTTTGGTGACCGAGTTGCCTTAGAATACAAGAAATAATAGTTTTTTTTAAGCAAATCCCACATAAACTATGAATTAGAACTATGTTCTTTTTTCTTTACTGGTACTCTAAACCATACCACTCATCAGGCTGTTTCTAACCCGCCTCCTCTTTACAAACTGAAGCTTCCCTTCAGTCCTGCTGACAGAAAGTGGCGTTCTGACTTTCAGATACTTCCTCCACCCCTCCGTCCCAGCTCTCCTCCTCTTCTGCGTATTTCTCCGTATCTCCTGAAGAACAGCTCCATCTCTTTCTGCAGGGAGGTGTTCCAGCGCTCTGCGTCTGCTTTGGCTCTCTCCATGTTTCTGATTTTGATCTCAGCGACGCTCTGGCTTCTCCTCTGCTGCTCCAGACTGAGCCGCAGGACGGCCACTTGTCTTTCGAGGACATCGTTGCTGCACTCCAGCCTGAGATGAACAGAGGAAAGACATCAGTAAGGAAGCTGTTGAACCTGTTAATTTACAAACAAAACCAAGGTCTGTAAATGTACACATATATTTATAAAACAACACGGAAGTGTTTGAGTTAAATAGTTTCTAATAACCTTCAGGATTACTTTAACAGAGTTCTCCTCCCCCAAAAGAAGGTTCAATTTTAGTAGATCTTTATCAGATAGTGCAGTTATAAATTTTAAAGAATCTGCTTCACTTTCTCTCTCCTCTGTGTCGCTGAGCAGTGCTGCAGAGTGCAAAAGCTTAGCTTATTCCCCTTCACAGGTTGATGATTTTGTTGAGGGGGTTGCTAGTTCTCTGCGTATTGCCTTAGACAACGCAGCTCCTTTGAAAATGAAAACCGTTAAAAATAGAAAGCTTGCTCCTTGGTTTAATGCAGAGCTGCGTACTTTGAAGCAAAATGCTAGGAAACTGGAGAGAAAATATCGCTCCACAGGCCTGCGGGAGTCCTTCCTAGTCTGGAAAAATGGTTTACTGCTGTATAAGAGGACCCTTTGTAAAGCAAGAGCAGCATACTTCTCCTCATTAATAGAGGAGAATAAGAATAATCCTAGATTTCTTTTTAATACAGTTGCCAAACTCACCCAGAGCCATAGCTCTGTTGAACCGTCCATTCCACCTGCTCTTAGCAGCAATGATTTTATGGGATTCTTTATAAATAAGATTGATCTTATTAAAAATAAGATCATAAGCACTCCTCTATCCGCGATTGTACCTGAGGTAGTCATGGAATCTGAACCGGGTTTAGACTGCTTTGATCCAGTTGAACTCTCTGAATTAGCAAAATTATTGTCTTCATCTAAGCCTTCAACTTGTATGTTAGATCCAGTTCCAACCAGGTTATTTAAGGAGGTATTCCCTTTGATCTCCTCCTCCATTTTAGATGTGATTAATCTATCTCTGTTACAGGGATATGTACCTAAAGCTTTTAAGATTGCTGTAATTAAACCTCTGCTTAAGAAACCGTCTCTTGACCCAGATGACTTGGTCAATTATAGACCTATATCCAATCTTCCTTTCTTATCCAAAATTCTTGAGAAAGTAGTTGCCAAACAAGTTTGCGATCACTTCCACCATAATGAACTTTTTGAAGAGTTTCAGTCTGGCTTTAGAGCTCATCATAGCACTGAAACAGCTCTGGTGAAAGTCACTAATGATATTCTCATGGACTCAGATAATGGACTTGTATCTGTGCTCGTCCTGTTGGATCTTAGTGCTGCATTTGATACAGTTGACCATAATATTCTTTTAGAAAGACTTGAATATTTTGTTGGAATTAAAGGAACAGCACTAGACTGGTTTAAATCTTATCTATCTGATCGAATTCAGTTTGTTCATGTTAATGA